AAAAGTCCCTGCCCCACCCCCTTGTGGCTGCTGGTTGGTGACGTGTGAACAGTGGCTCTCGCCCCCCCCCCCCCCCCCACGGTCAGCCCCTTCGGGGGGGGGGGGGGGGGCGGGGGGCGGGGGGGAAGGGGGGGGGGGGGGGGGGGGTTGGGGTGCATCTTCCACCCAGAGTCTGATGAGCAATCGGGGAGGAGGTCGGGGGGGTCAGCGTTCAAGGGAATCGACAGAGGCAGGGCAGAGCCAAACAGCGCAATGAAACATATCTTACTTACATCTTAGCTCATTTTACATGTACAGTCGTGATCAAGGCACAGGGAGCTTCTACAAGTTACTTTTTTCTTCAATAAAGTTGTACAAAATAATACATTTTACAGTCTGTACAAGAATAATGATCCAGCAGAGAACTCAAAAGACAGACCAAAAGCCAGGCTAAAGGGGAGGAGAGGAAGTCGGAGGGGAGGAAGGGGGGGAGAGCGACTAGGCCATCCGTTAAACGTCCTTCTTAGACGTCCTTCTCATGAGAGAGAGAGAGAGAGAGAGAGAGGAATGACACTCGGAAAACAGAAGGAGAGAGGGAAAACAGGAGGTTTAAAATGGTGCATATTTGCACACGCCAACACACAAACTGCGGAAACTAACAAACAGAAAGAGACTGTATTATTACAGGAATATCTCATATATATATATATATATATATATATATATATATATATTTGGATTTTTTGCACTGCATTTAGTTCACTGTTCTGCATGAAACTAGCATTGCATGCGCTCGCCTCTCCTGTGATGCATCTCGAGAAGCGAGTCATGTGATAGGTCTTGTGTTCAAGTCAGTCTCTGCTCCACACGCAAAGCAACCCGGGGCAGTAAAGGCTCCAAACCCCCCATTTTTGTTGGGGAAAAAAACATTTTGCTCTACATTGTTTTGTTTTTTTCTTTTAACATACGGTCCGTCGTTTTGCTCTCCTGCGGTGGGGTCTGTCCACCTTTGGGGATGGGATGTGGTTTTGGGAAAGGGGAAATGGGGAAAAGGTGAGGGGGACGCGCCAGGCTCGCCCAGGCACTAAACGTTCAACAGGACCAAAACGGGGGAGGATAAGAATAGCGTGTGTATGTCTTGTGCGTGCGCATCAATATAAGTAACGTGTGTTTAGGCATATGATCGGAAAAAAGACAAAGTTTGACGTGTAACATACATAGGACTGCGGGGTCAGGAGTTTAGCTGGACGCATTATGTGTCTGTAGGTGTACGAAATGGCTTCCTTGTCCTGAGCAGTTCTGGACAGTTTTTTTTCTTCCCTCTTTTCTCCCCCCTCCCTCTCCCGCTCACATGTTTTGTTTTCCTCTCTCTCTTTTTATTAACATTGGTAGTCCTTGGCTGTGTTAACAAGTCTTTTTGCCAGATATCACAGCCGCGCTTTCATCAGTAACACAGTGTGTCCCCTTGCCCCAGCCCCTAGTCACTCAGGATGGAGAAAGGCCATGTGTGTGTGTGTGTGTGTGTGTGTGTCTATGTATATAATATGCATGTGTGTCTAAGTGTAAGAGGTGGGGACTCATCAGTTTGAAGGTTTGTGGTTTGATATTGGGGCGTGATGTAGGGCAGGGGGGCCTAAAGAAAGTTCAGGTGGTGAGTTTGCGTCCCGTCATCCCTGCTGCGATCACAAGAGTTCGTACTGTCGTAGGTGCATGCGCTGGATGATGTCTCTGCAGTCGTTAAACACTCGGCGGATGTTTTCCGTGTCCACGGCGCAGGTGAAGTGGGGGTAGCAGTAGTGCCGTCCATCTCCACTTGCTGTACTGATCCTCTAAATAGACAAAACAACAACAAAAAAAAAGGGATGGTAATTTTATTAGGACCGGCAACATGACATGGTTTAAATTGCAATGCAAGTTACAAAAACATGTACTTAAATATCCTTTTATACATGAGCATATATATATATATATATATATATATAATATATATATATATACACATATACATACATACAGTATATTTGTATATATAAAGTACTGTTTAGGATTAGTAAAATTTTTGAAATCTCTTATGCTCACCAAGGCTACATTTATTTGATCAAAAATTACAGTAGAAACAATAACATTGTGAAATATAACAATAAAAAAAAATGTATTTGAATTTATTTTAAAATGTAATTTAAAATAAAAGCTCGATTTTCAGAAGTCATTACTCCAGTCAGTGTCAAATGATCCTTCAGAAATCATATTCTGATATATACTGATACAATTTTTTTTTTTTATTATCATAAATGTTTAAAACAGTTGCTGTTTAATATTTTTGTGGAAATTCTTTTTTCAGGATTCTTTGATGAATAGAAAGCTCGAAAGAACAGCATTTATTGGAAATATACATTTTCTGTAACATTATAAATGTATTTACTGTCACTTTTGATCAATTTAATGCATCTTTGCTGAATTGAATGGTAGTGCATTTAAAAGAAAAGATTAAAAAAAAAGCCATAGTTTAGGACACATGGTGATGGGTTGCTATGATGATTTTGGTGCCATAGAAGAACCAGACTCACCAAGAACTCATCTCGGATGAAATATTTTGCTCTTGTAACTCGTGGATCTTCCCCTTGCTCTGGTGTTGCTGACAGAAAGAAAGTATCTTGTTAATAACACTGATGGTGTGATATCCAAAGTTACTACTGTGCTTTAGATTAATATATGAATATGCATTCAATTCAACTATATTACGGACTAAAAATCATTATTCTATTTCACTGACCATCATCTGGTGTAGTGTAGCGTGCAAACTCGGGGAAGTAATCCTCAATTTTTGATTTTCCCGCCAAAACCTTCTCAGCCAGCAAGTCCTGCTTGTTTAGGAACAGAATGACAGAAATAGTTCGAAGCCACCTGGAAAGCAAGGAGAGAAAAAGATTAAGAGTTTTTTTTAATTTTCTGAAGAAAATGTGAGTGGTCCGGAAGTATACTCTCATTAAAGGGTCATGAAACCCCCCGTTTCAGCACTGGTTAGTTCTCACCACAGTTGGGCATGGTGCGCAGTGGAGCGGAGGAGGGGGAAGAGGGGAGACAGACAACACACACACAGCTTAGCGTTCTGACAGTTTCATTTCACTCCCATAGAGTTAAAAACACAAATAAATGCACAGCCATTTGCACTCTGCATCGAAAACATATATATGAACGCGCTGTTGCACCTCTGAGAACTTTTAAGGCTTATTCTGTGGCGTTTATAAAAACGGTAAAAACGGTTATGCACAGCAGTAGTCTCGGGTTTCATGACCCCGTAAGCCCTCTTTTTACATGTGTAAGCATGTTTTAGGCTTCTCAAGGGTACCTGTTATTCCAGATGTTCTTGAACAGGTTCAGTGCCTCCTGGAGTCTGTTGGTCTGATTGTCCTCTCTGAGCACCATGTTATAACTGCTGCTGGCTACCACGAAAATGATGGCTGTCACATCTGTAACGAGAGAAAATGTTTAAGCGTACACTTTGAACAAGCAATGCAAACAATCCATCATAAAACTATTCCTTAATTACAAAAAATTTATAATAATTAATAAACCAATATACTGGCCAGACTAATAACCTTTGTGTCAGTGAATAGATAAAATGATGGCCAAAATGACAGACCTTTCATTATTATTAATAATATTATTTAAGTAATAAAAGCATAGCATTTACCATTAAAACACTGGATCCATTTCCTGCGTTCGTCTCTCTGTCCGCCAACATCAAACATACTGCAGAAAAAAAAAAGAGAGGAAACATCAGTTAGGCAGCCACAGATAGTTTGACATGGACCTGTTCACATCAAGCACTCATTACTACTATTAATTTGTAAAAATGATTAAGATGTTAACTGCGGTTATGAAAATACATGCAAACATCTTTTGTCGCACTGTGAATCTGTGAAAAGTTTCATGAAGGCCTCCTAGTCAAACTCACTGAAAATTTACTTTGTCCACTTGGAATCTTGTCTCAAAGATCCCGGAAGTCAGAACTCTGCATCTGAGCAAGTCCTGAGAGACAGAGGCGACAAAGGGAAGAGTTCAAAGTTACATTTACAATACAAGACCCCTTTAAATCAGACACAAGAGAATGATGCCTCTTAAGAACAAGAAAGAGGATACAAGCCAAAGATATATGCGCAAATATCAATGTCTGAATCCCATCATGTGGATATTTACACACCTGATCAGTGGGAGTATAGTCGCTCTGTTTCACAGTGTCAATCCTGTCCAGGAAACTAAAATAAAGAAAAAAGAAAAATAACATTAACAACTGTCCAGTATGTCTCAACACTTCCTTTTAATTAATAGGGCAAGACTGATTTATGAGATACAAATAAACACTGAGTAATGCGATGACAGACAGCTGGATTTATTCCAAACAAGTCAAGACAAGGAATTAAAGAATGTCGTTATGCACAGCCCAAAGTTTAGTCATTGCCGAGCAATCACCTTGCATCTGGAAAGCATCCCTAAAAAGACATTACCACATGACTACTTCATTTACAAACCGTATTGTGCTATATACCGTGATCTAAATTATTTGTACTGTGAGATGTCATATCGTCAATTCCTAATAATCATTTGAAAAATTCTGTTGAAAAACCCATGTTCAAAAGTGAAAAAACTTTCACACGCATATTTTTCAAATCACCGCATGACACAAGTCAGCCATGGAGGGGGGGAAAAAAAAGAGGCAGCTGACACAATCTGCAGCTGCGGAATCAGCCAGCAGGTGGCGCATGTTTGTGCTGAGATCAAAGCAGGCAGGCTTCTGAGTCATAGTGATCAGAGAGCTCTCAGTCAGAAGCTGCTCTAGTCAATGGATTGGCTCTAGTGGAGGAAACAGAGAGGGGAAGAGAGGGCAAAACAGAGGGAGGGAGGGAGGGAGAGGGATCAAGAAACGCTGTCTTAGTCAAGCTGCTATCTGGTGAAAAACGGCTGCAAGATGGTGGGACGGCTCGAACTCGCCTCCTGGTCAATGCGGCTGAGATCTTAAAGACACTCATCAGAATCAAACGTATGCAGAAAGAGTGGCGATAACAATCAATGTGCCCAACAAAATGTTTCTCATTCAGAACTGGCTCCAGTTATAATAGATCATCATAGATCATATCTGATGAAGAGCCTGCGTGCTCGAAACGTCACACACGCTATGCGACAGTTTTTTTAAAATACATTTCTGATACTTTTGGAGCTTTGGTGTTGTCGACTTTACATAAAAAAAAAAAATTCCACTTGTTTCTTATTCGATCACCCAGTTGAGATCGATGTGCGTGCTTTTGCCTGCTCTTTGTTAATAGATCATCATAGAAATATGATTTATAATAATGTCCATGCTGACATTATAAATCAGAGGACAATCTAATACAATATAATATAATATTCTTTCTATAATACAATACTTTCAACTAGTTGACCCTCAACTTGTATTTTATTTTAGTTTTAAGTTTGTTTTAATAGTACGATTTTTGAATATACATTAATAATATTAATAAATATGCATATATATTAATATTTATCATCTGAAGACAAAAATGCTTCTCATTCAGAACTGGCTCCATGTTTACAAATATCATAGGCATATGATTGATAATAATGTCAATGCTGACATTATAAATCAGAAGACCATATAATACACTATAATATTCATACAATACTCTCAACTAGTTTACCCACAATTTTTATTTTTATAGTTTTAATTTTACATTTGAGCTTTTTAATTCTAAAATATTAATAATAATTATATATATATATATATTAGGGCTGTGTATCACCAGCAAAGTCACGATACGATATATATCACGATACAGAGGCCACGATACGATACATGGCTGCACTGAATTTCATCTCAGCAGAATTTTGAAAAACAGCTGTTTATTAAACACTGCTTACTATAGTGCCATTTTTAACTATTGGCAGAGCAGGCAGCTGACCTCTGCATTATGGAGGGCCTCCATAATTGTACTACAGTACAATATAGGTAATTGCATATGTTTCATGTTTACATTGTGCACTCCCCACCAGGTACAATATTCTGATTATTATTTATGGGCTTAAAAACAAGATGCAAACAATGTACTTGTTCTAATACATGTATATTGTAATGTACTCATTCTAATATATTTAAAAAATAATTTACATTGCTGGTAGGTTATCATTGCACAAATTAACACTCTCTACAATAAAAAAAATAAATTAGAAGAGTTCTAAACTAACGCGCTGTCTTCACTGTATCTAACGCACACATGCTCAAGGCTGATTTAAGGCTGATTTATACTCGACGCGTCTGCAAGTTCACTTTGAGTGCGCGCGACATCGTTTCGCGTGGCGGTGTGCACAACATTTTTGTAACTTTCCACGCAGCTCCGCTTCAGAAGATGCATGAGTTAAAAGCGACTCTAGCCGAACATGCACGTCTGTGCCAGCATTTGTGTGAAACAGAAGCAGTTTGGTGCAGTCACACATACAGATCACGTTGCGGCCGAACTCAGACATTCAGGAACAAACTTTTTAGCGCTGCCCCG